TTCCTGCTGCCTACTGTGAGAGGCAAGCTTGCACAGAGCTCAGCACCCTGTGAGGCTGGCCGGCCTGATGTGGGGTGCTTTTTATCCAAAAGGTGCAGTCCTGGCTGCACTGAGCTCTGGTGAAGACCTGGCCCCATGCAGGTCATTGCTGTACTCCCTGGGAGTACTGTCCTTCCTCCTCAGTGTGAACCCAGCCAGCCATTATGAGAGGTGTGGGGGGGATATGTTTTCTAGGTGGTTCTTTTTAACCAGCTGAAGTGAACATGTTCCTCTGGACCTGGCTTCCAGTTGGGACACTGTGCTCTTCACTAGTCATTCATTTAATATGTAATGATTTTGGATGTCATTTTTTGTTAGTGGTCAATAGAAGGGTACTCTGTATGGCACAGTGAATATTAAACACAGGGCTGTTTTCCAGGGGAGTGAATCTGCAGCTGTGTTGCACTGACTTTGATGAGGCTGGGCACCAGTCCTGCCCCTGCTCCTTTGCAGAGCTCAACACAGAGTAGTGGTTGTGTGGACAGAATTTTCGCATTTCTCCACCTCATCCTGGTGTGGAGACCCCTGTGCGCTGCCTCAACTGCTGCTCCTGGGGCAAGACCCCTGTGCCCCCTCTCTCTCTGTACAACAGACAGACAATGCTGAAATAGCTTGCAAGGCTGCTGTTTCTTGGCTGGGAGGCATGCTGGAAGGCAGAAGAGCTGTGGCAACCTGTTAATGAAGTGTTACGGCTGGTATTTGCTCTTATTGTGTCAATGAATCTTTGGGGAAGGGTAAATAATAAGATCTGCTGTCCCCTGACCTGAAAGAATTGTGTGTCCAGCCACCACCAGAGAAAAGAGAAGAGTTGAGCACTGCCTTAGCATTAATTACCTTGCAGAGGGAACGTGGGTTGTAACAGGAGGTGGCATTACCTGCCTGCTGCCCTTCAGCCAAGATGGGAGTGGGGAACTTGACTACAGCTATGGCTCCCTCATGCGAGGCACCAGCACTTGGGCTCTGTGCTGCCAGGGTCCAGCAGGGACACGGCCCTGCCACAGGTGAGGCAGCTGCCACCTGAAAGCGGTCCTTGGCATTGCCAGTATGTATGGGTGTCCGGGTACCAGAGCGACAGCCAACACCAGCTGAGGGGTGCTGGCTGCGTGTTGGTGGGCTGTGGGAGGAAAAGGCAAGGGCAGTGCTTCACAGAATAGTTGCAACTGCTACAGCAGTGCCTGTGCGGGGAACAGAGCTGTGAAACGCTTTGTGTCTCCCGTGCAGGAGGAGAGGAACAGAGATGAGATGGGTGGGGAAGTCTAGTCCACCGTTATTGATAACTTCTTCTGATCTGTTACACCATACTGAATATCTGTATATGCTCTGGAGCTGATTGCCTTCTAAACTGACATGCTTATTACTTGCATTATTTCATGCTCCCTGTTTGCAGTTCTGCCTGCTCTCAGATGAGGGAAGGGATCTTTACTGATTGCTTTTCTGTCTTTTAAGGTTTGCAGTTCAGTCTCACTCGAGGCTGTCTGTACAAACAGCACCAAATCATGGCCTCATGGCTTTGTGGAAGTGTGGTGTGGCTCAGGGTACTACGAGGGTGTTGTTTTGTACCCTTTCCAGGCAATGTGCAGGGAAGAGACGGGACGGCTGACCTGTAGGGGCAGGCGTGAGGCTGCCATGCCCTCTGCAGGGTCTGGGAAGACTCACCCCAACTCCTTCAGCCTCTGCCACCTTGGGGCAGGGTGGGTGGGAGTCGGTGGCTGGGACCCTGAGCGGCGTCCAGTCAGCTTGCCTTTGCAGCCCGGGGCTGTCTTATGGGAGTCGTGAGCTGGGGGCTGGCTGTGACACGGTAAGGGTGCTTGCTCTCTTCTGTGGGTCCTCACAGTGGGGAGAGAGCAGGGCAGTAACCCAGAGAGACCATGGCTCCTGTGCTGTGGATGTAGGAAGGCCAGGGGAGCTGATAGGAGGAGGATGATGACAACATGGACACTTTCTTCTCTGGAGCAAAGGGAAGAGTCATTGCTTTAAGGACCTGGATGAGGTAACTGAGCTGCAAATACAAGCAGGGTCTAGTGAAAGGCCATTGTATCCGAGCTGCCCTGGCACCCTAGGGTGCCTTGCTGTCCTGTGGGGACCTCGGTGACCCCAGGAAATGCCTGCCCTGCAGCAGGCTATAGGAGAGAGGAGGAGACAGAGCGCAGGGTTGCAGGTACTGCTGCCCTGGTGAAAGTAAAGCAGGTGCTGGAGCCATGAGCATCACGTTGTTTGCTCTCTGTGTCTCTTGCCTGTGCTTGTGCCTGGAGGAACACTTATGGAGGCGGACAGAGCATGAGGAAATATTTGATCCATTGTCAAAGGACTCACAGGGACACACGGAACTCTGTGTCCACAGCACAGCCATATAGCAGTGTTTCTGAATTGCACATTACAGGAACAGCCATAGTATCTGAGGTGGTCATCCAACATGATGTTGCCTGAAGGACAGATGCTTCCTCGGGAGGTGGTGTGTGCAGCGTTCTTACACGCTGTTTCAGGATTTCACAGTGCCTACATGTCAAGAGCTGATCCTGTTTGTAACACCTTGTCCTGACAGTACTGTGGGTGCTGGTACTCAAGCTTGGCTCCACTCTGTGTGCAGCCAAATGCTATTTTTGGCTGATTGCTGCAGTCATGATGGGAACCGGTTGTGTGCTTTGTGGAGGTGATGAGATGGCACGTGCACCCTTCTCCCTTCATGCTGCAGGCTTTGCTGAGGCACTGTATGTGGAATTGGTAATGATCCTGGGAATGAGGGTGCCTTTGCCTTGTTCCTATGGGAAGTAGCAGGGAATTAGAGCTGCGGGTCTTGCGGTGTCACCTTGTGCAAAATGCTTGAGAAAAATACTTTGAAAACAACTCATATTCTGTGGGTGTGTCTAAAAAGTTTCCCCCTTCACAACTCTAGGCTCTTTGTGCCTTGATTTTCATGCACAGTGTGGATGATGCTGCCTGCGTGCAGCAGCTTAACCCCTTTATGCCAGTAATGACAGTATGAAAGGTTTGCAGCACCTGCTGCCTGGCCATTGGGAGCTTGATCTTGGGATGTTTCAGCACCTGCCATGTGGATGCTCTTCCTGCTTTCAAAAGAGGGGGGCTGAGGAGGGTGGGTACCTCTGCCCACTTACTTTTGTTTTTACTTTGTTCTTTATTTCTAGCAGGTATGGAAGGGAAGAAATGCAGTGTGTGGATGTTTTTACCTCTTGTGTTTACCCTGTTTACATCAGCTGGATTATGGATAGTGTAAGTTATCTCCTGCTGGTTATTTGGGAGAGCAAATTAGGCTGGAGCAGTTGGAAGTACTGCTGTGGTGTGGGCTGCATCTCAGTACAGAGAGTCCTTTGGGGGTGCTCTGTCCTTGAGTTACTGTGGGGCTGGGAAGGCACATGATAAGGGCAGGGACCAGTCGATGCTGATTCATGGCTTGGAGGATCACATTTTTATCCTTGAATTTCTGCGCTCCCCAGGCCAAGTTTCTGACTTTGCCTGCTTTCTGGCACCTGTTACTAGGAGCTGCCTGAAAAGAGACAGACAAAAATGCAAAAATTCTCTTGCATCCTGTTTTCTTTGAATGACTCAGCAGAACTCTTGGAGAAGCACTTAGGCCCTGCTCTAGGGTGCAAACTCAAAATCCGCAGCATGCAGCGCCTCATTGACAACCTGCCAATGGCTTAATGCTGACACCTCACTTTCTCACTAACACTTGTTACCAAAATGCATGAGACATGCATTTCCCTTGAGCTGGGCTCTCTCCAAGCATGCAGGCAGATAACTGCAGCATGAGTCTGGGAGTGATAGAGTTGTGATCAGCAGCTATGCTCAGCCTGAGAAGCAGTTATATTGTAGGGTATGTCTTTGGCCATGGTCTGTGGATGTTGTTTTGCAGCAGCAAGGGCAGCTTAAGCCATTTTCTGACCCCTATTGCTTGTTGTTCTTCTTGTCCAATCCCCTCTGTATTAAAACAGCTTTTGCAGAGGGGGGACCATGGTAAACGCAGATGAATCAAATTATTCAGATTAAGGATGAAAACATTCCCCTGGTTGATTCTTTTTAAGGCAGCTCAGTTCACTTACTCTGTCTGCTTGACTGGGCAAAACAGATGCAACACAAAGGAAGGCATGTAGTTAGGCTGGGAAGTGAGCAAAATTGCCTGCTTGAGCAGAGAGAAACACAGGCTGCCTCCAGCAGATCCTGCCAGGGGGCTTTGAGACACTTAATGTGTTGTTTGCGTGATATTTGGAATTGAAGCCAGGAGGAGGTTTGACACTGTTTTCATCTTTTTTTTTCTTTTTTTTTTTTTTAATGACGTAAATGTGCCAGATAGGTAAGAGCTGGGTTTTATGTTCAATCACTTCTTTCTTTAAAATGATAAAACAAAGAAAGCAAAATGGGAAAGAAAATCTTAAATCTTTGTTCCTATGCATTTCTGTCTCTTAGGAAACCTGGTTCCAAAAGACCGCCTTATATAAGGTAAATGAATGATTTTGTTCCAGTTATTGTTCTGATTAACAGCTGTTATTTACGTGTCTTTTTCATCCTAGAGTTACAATGATAAACTTTATATTTTCCAAGTATTGCAGGTGACGCACCTCCTGCAAGCTGCGTATTTAGCCAAGTCATGAACATGGCGGCATTTCTAGGTAGGAACCACAAGGGGAATGTTTCTTTCTCATAATTTGTTTTAAGAAGTCACTGAAACATAAGTAATATCCCATACATATTGTTCTTGAATCCGCTGATGTGAAATCGTTTAAACTGCGATTACTGCTGATTAAGACAGTATTATTTTGTCTTCATTTATAGAAAGACAGAGTGAAGCTGGATGCATTTGAACTTTACTGGTATCTGATTTATTCTCATGTTTTTAAGTGCCTTATCTTAGCTTTGAATCTGTGTGACTTTTTTTCATTGTATGGTAGGTTTTTGTTATATGCTGTGAATGTGAGATAATTGCATGGGAATATTGGCAAATGCAGCAACTGATTATGGAAAATGCTGTCTGTGCTGAAGTCCCCCCCTACACTACCCCTTCCTAAATTCCATTACTAAATATGTGGAAATTTACTGGCATTTTCCAGCAGTGGAGGTAAGAGGGAAACACCACAAAGAGAAGAAATATCTGAAAAGTACTTGAAAAAAGATGGCTGTTTGGTTCTTAAAACTGTTTGTTACCTTCACCTGTACGTATTTTGAACAAATACCAAACTTAAATGACAAGTAATTAATTATTTTAACCTTGATTTGCTGCTCTTTAGTAGTATTTGCACTTATGTTTTTCTATATGGGGTGATTTATTGTGCTTTCGTTTTTGCTCTGAAGTATTCTCTTGAACTGTGGGTTCTACCCCTGCTGCCTGTGAAAGGCACGATGTTTCTTTTCAGAAACCTCAGAAATTCAGTTGAGTTGAGCTTTGAAATTAATCCAGACAGGTACTTGCATGAGTAAGATACCTTAACAATCCTAATATGAGACAATGAACTACAGTTCTGGTGGCAGGGACTGGCATTTCTGAGGCTGCGCTGAAAAGACTGAGGATCATGGTGGGACCTGAGCAGATCCTGTCCTTGGCCGGACCTCCACTCCTTCCTATTTCCAACCAAGGAAAGCTACACTGTGTTGGTGGAAATGCTGCTGAAGATGGCTCCGATAGCACAATACAGGGACAGACTATGGAAGACAAGGGTGCTGCCCAGTTTTGGGGCACGGCCATTGCAAAGGATGTCCTGGCGGAGCTCCAGGTTTGAAAATCCTGGTTGCCGTAGTGGGTGCTTTTCAGCCGAGCTTTCAGACACATCACGTCAGTTGGGTTTTGTAAATATTTCAACAGCGTTTTGAAGTTCCAATGAAAACAGAGAAAACCTTTGATGTCTACAGATCCTTTATCCCACCTTACTCTTCACCCCATACTTTTCAGCAACGTTTAGTCAGTGTTCATTGAGGCCTGAGGGACCCAAGGTGCAAAAGCTTGGGCCCACTGAAGTTAAAGCAAACCTTTCCCTGGTCAGAGTGAGGCCAGACTCAATGCTGAAGTAAGTCACATAAAGCAATTTTAGTTTCTCTGTTTCCCTCTCTCTTAAAAAAAAAAAAAAAAAAATCTGATTAGAAAATCAGAACCTCTTTTGTTTCAGAAAACCCAAAAGTTTTGTAAACATGTAAATCAATCAAAAATCAGGATGAAAAGAGCAATATGTGTAAGAAATTAAGTTTTTTTTATTGTTCATTTATTTTTGCAGGAAGGGTTGCCTTGGGCATTAATCCATGTGAGACAACCAAACTGGTTATTTTTTGACTGCTGGGCTGGAAGTCCCTGTGTCATTGAAGCAGTATTAACAAAAGCCTTCTGGGTGGATAGGCATGGATTTGCCATATTGGTTTTACAAACAGAAAGTTTGATTTTTTTCAACCAAATTATTATTCTTTTGTTGAAAATACCTGTTTTGTAACATCTTTATTTTACAAACATTAATCACTCCAGGGAAAATTCCTGTCCAGCAAGCCTATTCAATGTGCTACTTCATTTTTCTTCTTTGTGTTTTGTTTCCCAAACATAAACACTAATAACAACTTCTGGGGCACCCAGGGAGACTCCTAAGTTTAATAAAGACTATGTTGTGAGTCTTTGTCGTGATACATTTCTGCTTGTTTGGAAATACGGTGGAAAAAAAGTGAGGGCAAAGAATGCGCTGAAACAAATTGGGGATTTCTGCATTACCTCTACAGGTGTTTTATAAATATCTCAAGGGTGGGTGTCAAGAGGATGGGGCCAGTGGTGCCCAGCGACAGGACAAGGGGCAATGGGCACAAACTGAAGCACAGGAAGTTCCGTCTGAACATGAGGAAGAGCTTTTTCACTCTGAGGGTGACGGAGCACTGGAACAGGCTGCCCAGGGAGGTTGTGGAGTCTCCTTCTCTGGAGATATTCAAGACTTGCCTGGACAAGGTCCTGTGCAGCCTGCTGTAGGTGACCCTGCTTCAGCAGGGGGGTTGGACTAGATGACCCACAGAGGTCCCTTCCAACCCTTACCATTCTGTGATTCTGTAACATGAGACTTGGGACGTAAAACCTGGTAAAATATGTTTAATTGTGAACCTTGACATGAGCTTCCTTATTTTCGCTTGTCACTCCAGGTTGGAGTTTACTCATCCTTACACTTTGTTTCCAAGTATTCCTTTGTTTCAGGTTTAGATCTTGATTTATGTATTGAGCCAGGGTCTCAGTTAGTAGAAATAATTCTGATTCCAGTTTGTGCTAAGGCAGGGTCTTGCACGCATTTTGTTTATATGCCTGATATCCAGTACAATGTGATTGTCATGATATGATTTAAACTTGTGACCCCCAAACCACTTAAAACAACATGTGCATAGCATGCTACTTCTTATGCTAACGGGGCCATTTGGCAGTAGTGAATACCCGCCTGCCTTTTCAGCTGCTTCCAGGTAAGGCTCCATTTCTTCAGACCACTCTGTTCAAGCAGCCTCTGTGGACCTGCATGAAGTCCCAGCAAGTCCGATGGCTTTATGAAGGGGCAGGAATTGGCTTGATGCTCACTCACCGTATGATCTAGGTGGACGTGAGGATAGCAGTTGCGTGAGTGTGAGGGGAGTAGCAGGTGTGAAGAGGGGCAGGCAAACAAAAGACATGCAGCTTTTTGAAGCTCAGCTATATTGTACACTTTTGTTGCTGCTTCTTCCCATTGCAAGAAGAAATATAAGCCTGGAACCTCCCAGACTGCAAATATGTCGTGGGAGATGTGATGGTAGGTGGCTGTCTTGGCCATGGTGATTATGGAATGGTTGAGTTTAAAATTTTTGGTGTAATGAGAAAAAAAAGGACAGCAGAGTTGCTATGCTGGATTTCAAGAAAGCAAACCTTAAGCTATTCAGAGAGCTACTTAGCAGAGTACCCTTGGAATCTGCTTTTGAGGGCTTAGGAGTCCATGAGTGCTGGTCAGTTTTTAAGAACCACCTTTTAAAGGCGCAGGAGCAGGCAATCCCACTGTGTCGTAAGCCAAGCAAGCGGAGCAGAAGACCAGCTTGGCTGAGCAGGGACCTCCTCTTGGAGCTGAAGAGGAAAAAGAAATTTTATGATCTCTGGAAGCGAGATCAGGCTTTGCAGGAAGATCACAGAGCTGTGGTTCGTATATTCAGGGAGAAGACACAAAAGGCCAAGGCTCAATTAGAGTTGAAACTGGCCACTGTTGTTTCAGATGACAAGAAGGGGTTCTTCAACTGTGTCAATAGCAGGAGGATGTCTAAAGAAAGCATTGGACTGCTGCTTATAGAAGACTGTCACCTGACTAACAGAGATTAAGATAAAGCGGAGGCATTCAATGCTTTTTTTGCCTCAGTGTTTAATAATACTGATAGACTTTGGGCTGCCCGATCCTCTGAGTCGAAGGACCACGAGTACTGGAAGAGGGACTTTCCATGTGTGAACACTGAAATTGTAAGGGACCAGCTGTATCAGCTGAATGTGCAGAAGACTCTGGGGCCTGATGGGATTTGTCTCAGAGTACTGAAGGAGCTAGCGGATGTTACAGCAGGACCCCTCACGATCATCTACCAAAGGTCTTGGGAGTCTGGGGAGGTCCCTGCTGACTGGAAGCTAGACAGCTAGACAGTGTTACTCCAGTCTACAAAAAGGGTGTGAGGGAAGGCTCAGGGAACTACAGACCTGTTAGTCTAACCTCAGCTCCTGGAAAAATTATGGAGAAGATCATACTGGGTACTGTTGAAAGGCAGGTAAAGAACAATGCAATCACCAGGCAGAGTCAACATGGGTTCACAAAGGGAAAGTCCTGTTTAACTAATTTGATATCCTTCTGCGGTAAGGTCACTTGCCTCGTGGATGAAGGGAAGGCGGTGGATGTAGTTTTTCTGGATTTTAGTAAGGCTTTTGATACCGTCCCTCAGAGCATCCTTCTGGACAAGTTGTCCAGCTGTGGGATGAGCATGTACACAGTGCTCTGAGTGAAGAAGTGGCTGAAGGGCAGAGCTCAAAGGGTTGTAGTGAATGGGGCTACATCGGGCTGGCAACCGGTCACCAGCAGTGTTCCTTGGGTCTCAGTCCTAGGGCCTGTTCTGTTCAATATTTCTGTCAACGATCTGGATGCAGGAGTTGAATGCACCGTTGGCAAGTTTTCTGATGGTACCAAACTGGGAGGTGCTGTTTACCGTCTTGAGGGATGTGAAGCCTTGCAGAGGGATCTAGATTGATTGGAGCATCGGGCAATGAATAGTGGGATGAAATGTAACAAGTTAGAATGCTGGATTCTGCACCTGGGGTAGAGTAACACCGGGCACAAGTATAAACTGGGCGAGGAGTGGCTGGGGAGCAGCCCCGCAGAAAGTGATCTGGGGGTGCTGGTTGACAGCAGGCTCCATACGAGTCAGCAGCATGCCCTGGCAGCCAAGAGGGCAAACCTCATCCTGGGGTGCATCAAACACAGCATAGCTAGTTGGTCAAAAGAGGTGACTATCCCGCTGTATTCAGCACTGGTGCGGTGTCACCTTGAATAGTGTGTGCGGTTCTGGGCTCTGCAATTTAAGAAGGATGTGAAAGTCCTTGAACGCATCCAGAGGAGGGCAAGAAAGCTGATGGAAGGGTTTTAAGATATGTCCAGTGAGGAGCAGCTGAGGTCTCTGGGCTTGTCTAGTTTGGAGAAAAGGAGGCTGAGGGGTGACCTCCTTGCTCTCTACAGCTTCCTGAGGAGGGGAAGTGGAGAGAGAGGTGCAGATCTCTTCTCCCAGGTATCCAGTGATGGGACGCGTGGAAGCGGTGCAGAGCTGCACCTGGGGAGGTTTAGACTGGATGTTAGGAAGCATTTCTTTACTAGAGAGGGTGGTCAAACACTGGAACTGGTTTCCTAGCAAGGTGGTCGATGCCCCATCCCTGTCAGTGTTTAAGAGGCATTTGACAATGCCCTAAATAGTATTCTTTAACTTTTGGTCAGCCCTGAATTGGTCAAGCAGTTGGACTGAGAGCAGCCCTGCAGAAAGTGATCTGGGGGTGCTGGTTGACAGCAGGCTCCATACGAGTCAGCAGCATGCCCTGGCAGCCAAGAGGGCAAACCTCATCCTGGGGTGCATCAAACACAGCATAGCTAGTTGGTCAAAAGAGGTGACTATCCCGCTGTATTCAGCACTGGTGCGGTGTCACCTTGAATAGTGTGTGCGGTTCTGGGCTCTGCAATTTAAGAAGGATGTGAAAGTCCTTGAACGCATCCAGAGGAGGGCAAGAAAGCTGATGGAAGGGTTTTAAGATATGTCCAGTGAGGAGCAGCTGAGGTCTCTGGGCTTGTCTAGTTTGGAGAAAAGGAGGCTGAGGGGTGACCTCCTTGCTCTCTACAGCTTCCTGAGGAGGGGAAGTGGAGAGAGAGGTGCAGATCTCTTCTCCCAGGTATCCAGTGATGGGACGCGTGGAAGCGGTGCAGAGCTGCACCTGGGGAGGTTTAGACTGGATGTTAGGAAGCATTTCTTTACTAGAGAGGGTGGTCAAACACTGGAACTGGTTTCCTAGCAAGGTGGTCGATGCCCCATCCCTGTCAGTGTTTAAGAGGCATTTGACAATGCCCTAAATAGTATTCTTTAACTTTTGGTCAGCCCTGAATTGGTCAAGCAGTTGGACTAGATGATCGTTGTAGTTCCCTTCCAACTGAAATATTCTATTCTCTCTCTCTTTTGTGGATAAAGCCAAGCTTTCCTCTGCTGTGTTGGATGCTTCTGAGAGCTGCTTTTAACTTGTAGTTCTGGTCACCTTAGTGGTGTCAAATCCCTTGCTATAGGACAGGAAACTACAGAAACCTGCTAGAAACATAGGCATTACTGAATATTGAAAATGCCATTGTTTTGCACATAATGCTGGAAGGTGACATTTTAATTCCCTTTGTCATTCCCATCAATGTTTTAGGAAAAGATCACGTAATTTCAGGATCCTGTCCTGTAGAAATAGAAATGAAAAAGTTCCTGCACGTGAGCTCAAGTAGTCACAGGCTGGCTGTCCCAAACAATTACCTGGAGATGAAAACCAGAAATTCTCTTTTTTGGGGAACAAAGTTGTCTTGTTTTCAAGGATTTGGAGTGCATTGATTCACTAGAGCAAATTGTGAGAGAGTAAACGTCTTTTGCAGTTTGGATAAAAGTAGATATTTTTCACTTACAGTGCTCTTGCTTTTCTAAACCATGTTTTTGGTGTTATACCAAGGGTTTTGTGGAAAACATAGATCTAATTTGCTGATGCAGATGATTTACAACAATGTGACCTGCGTGCTATTGGTTTGAGCATAAAAGCACAAAGAGGTGTTCGGCAGCAACCAGCAAATTTCTCTTTTCAACTAAATTGATTTTTAGTGGTCTGATTTGAATACCGTCTGCAGGCCAACTGATTGCCTGGCTTTCTGTGTTGTTCCATGCAGCATTCCCTAGGGAGGGCAAGAATATAGGTGAATATCTTTTGGTGTTATGTCATATCATATGATATATCATATCATAGCGCTTGGGCTAATTGTAAGCTTGGAAGGACTGCTCTTCCACTCTGCAGAAAATCAGTGCAATATTTTGGCTTATGTTCATGGCATCAGCAACTTGTTCCAGAGAAGGAGTGGGCATTATGGCAAAACCTGCAGAAATACATATGTGCCATTCATGCATTTTCTAATACAGGTGGGGTTTGACATACCTCCTCCAAGAGTACTACTCAGTGCTCATGAGTGGCGTGAAACTTGATGCAAGCCCAGCTGCCACAATGTGAATGCATGGTGTGTGATAGACTATGTGCTGTGAGCTTCACAGGCAAATAGGAAAGTGATCTTCTTTCCCTCTGAAAACTTGCAACCCAGCTCCTAGACAAAACATCATGAGGAAAGGAATTGTGGGAGCTCAGCGTAACTGGATTGCAAGAGGAATGCTTCCTGTGCTTAGTCTCATCCATGACTAAGCAGGAGGGGGCCATGCAGAAGCACTAAGCTAGCTGGCCTGCGGTGTGAGCTCTGCCCTCAGGGTGAAGAGAGAGTGAGGGGTCCATGAGCTCCCAGCCACGTGGTTACTGCAGCATGTTCTACCTAATGACACACCTTGCATTCTGTTTCCTTCTCAGCGCTTGTTGTGGCCGTTCTGCGCTTCATTCAGCTGAAGCCGAAGGTGCTAAACCCTTGGCTGAACGTCAGTGGCCTGGTGGCATTATGCTTGGCTTCTTTTGGGATGACCCTACTCGGCAACTTTCAGGTACTGCACTCCAGGCTTGGACCACTGTGTCTGTGCTGTGAGGTTCCTGCTTTTCTAGCAGATCTGCTTAGGCCTTTGAACTACCTGTGATGTGAGCTCAGGAGATAACGTGTCTGGCTGTACCCCAGCCCTCCTTGTACCTGCTCTGTCACCTCTGTCTGCCACTTACATGGCTCCAGCGACATGCTGAGATGAAGGGCCACAATCATTTTTCATATATTGCCAGCAGGATTTGCACCTGCATGCTTACACTTGACCTGCCGAGAGCCAGAGCAGGGAACCCGTTGAATCTCTTGAGCCAGGGATGTTGGCACAGATGGTCCTGGGTAAAATGATTGAGCTGAAAGTTTATGTACGCATTTGTGCGAACAGATGCACAGCTGCCCATACAGATTTAGCAGACCAGTGTCCTTCGTTTATAATGTATGTTGTTTAAATCTGTCTCCTGCTTGTCCTCAGGCTGGTCACGAGAGGGACACAGCAGAGGAGGTCTATGACTTGTCCTAATGTGATGGATGCCTGGATGAGGTCCCTCAGATTCTCCATCTGTTCTGCAACATTATACAAACAAACAAGCTGTCAGTGCCACCACATTGCTCTGTAGGGTTGGGTGTCTGCTGTGATCAGGAATGTATGTTAGGTCTGCAGAGAAAATGAAGGCATTAGAGTCAGTGGCACTTGGGTTTCACCCTCCCTTTGCTGTCTCTGATGCTCTGCCTCTCACTGGAGTGCAAGTAGTGATCCCCAGTAATGACAGAAACTGAGAAAAGTCAGTGTAGGGTGGCTTCTTTCCTGGCTTTTCTGTTTGGGTTGTGCAGAAATTGCAGGAACTGTGTGTTCTTTACAGATTTCCTTTTTTTTTTTTTTTTTTTTTTTGATGGACTCCACAGCACAAGTGAAAAACTTGGAGTCTTGTTTTTTCGCAAGATCTTCCCAGCTAGGAGCTATGAGACTTTTGTAACAGCCTTGTCTAGGTGTCAGAAGAGTATTTCTAGTACAGAGCAGGCACTAGGAAGCAGTTTCAACCTCTCCTTCCTTTTTTTGCTCCTCAGAGCAATGATGGTTATTTAAAAGTGGATACTTTGAATGATGCCCAATTATAAATTCTGAACTAATTATCCACTCCTTCTTAGTTACCTGTATCCTTGCTTAGATCTTTTGCCAAACCATGAAAGCATGTGGTAGTAAGACCTTAGTCCGTGCTTCTCCCTCCCTGCCTGACTGCTAAGCTGAATGTGGCATTAAATCCTATTTCTGGAAAATTACAGATTGTGTGTGTTAGAGGGACATTATGGCTGTGAGTCCCTTGCAGTGGAGGCTGCCTTGGGAAAGGCAGGTCAATGCCATTTTTGCCTGTACTATGATTTGGACATACCCTTGAAAAAAAACTCAAGGTAGGGACAAGAGGGGAGACATCACTGGAGGCACAGTAACTAGACTGTTATCTTATAGATTGCGTCTATTTGATAGGCCCCAGTGGTTGATGATGGGTAGGAGAGGGAACAGGCAGTCAAGCTATTTCGTGGGAGAAGCTTACCAAACCAGGAGCGTGCGTCTGTGTTTTGGCCTGTGCTAGCTCAGTGGAGGTGTCAGGGCTCTGGCTATCCTCTGCCCCAGGCAGCACTCCTCCATGCAGCTGGCACTGAAGATTGCACGGTTTGCTTCCATTGCAGGGGGCTGTACAAGTCCCCAGTGGGTTGTCGTTGCCTGCCCTGGTCATCACAGTAAGCCATTATTTTTGAGCTCTTCGTTGGTGAGTCTTGTCAGGGAACTGTGGAGGCAGTCTCCAAGCAACTGCATTTTCCACTGTGCTTGGTCTTTGGGCAGAAGATCTGGTTGACTGTGACAGCTGTCAGCTCATCTTGGTTATGTCACACCTTACACCTGTGCCAGAAGAAATGATACAGCATCTCTGTCTCACACCCCAGTGATTCCCACTCTCCTGTGTCCCACCACAGCAGCAATCCAAGTAGCTGGCAGATCATTCCTGTTGCACCCAGACAATCACCATTTGGTTTGTTCCTAGCTTTCCAATGATGAAGAGATCCACAATGTGGGCACATCACTGACCTTTGGCTTTGGGACCTTGGCATGCTGGATCCAGTCTGCCCTCACCCTCAAGATCAACCTGAAGAATGAGGGACGGAAAGTCGGGATTCCACGAGTTGCCCTGTCAGCCGGCATCACCCTCTGTGTGGTGCTCTGTATCCTTTTGTCCTGCTGCCTGGGAAGCCAGGTATCATACATGTCCGACACTCTCTGCAGCAGGGAACATGGGCACTTCTGACATCTGTCCTAGGATCTCAAAGCATTTAAGAATGCTGCTCAGCTTGTCTTCATGGCATGATCCTATGATTGGCTCATTTTGCTGCTTGTGTTTTACCAGGATGCACTCCTTCACAGATGGGCTCACTTCCTTCACAAATGTTTCTAAAACTTTAGTGATATCCAAAGTGGCTACAGTATTGACTAGTATCTAATGCTATTTAATGGCACCAGGGCTTACCTACAAAGCAGCATTTAAGGTTATGCAAAATATTGATAAGAATTCTCAGAAGAACAAAGGAAGAAATAGGGTTTCTGAAGATGAGAAAATTTTGATGTGTTTGTTGAAATGCTCCAGGGCACTACATCCAGTTCTGCCTTTTAAAATGATTATCACAGTCAGGAGCTGCTGGGTCATGTGGACTTCAGGTAAGATTATGTGATACAAATGGGATTTGGGCTGTGGGGTCTGTGGTTACTCAGACTTGGATGTACATGTGGCTTTCTCTCCATCTTGGGCCTGTCAGCCCCGCTGCAGCCCCCCTGTTCGCACCAGCGTTCATGTGCCCTGGGTGTGTGTTTAGTGTAGATCCATTCACTGCACAGTTGCATCAATGTTAGTGCTGGAATAAGCAAGAAGGCAACAATAAATGGCAAGGAATGAGCTAATCTGCGTTTTTGGGGAACAGCCTGTTTTTAAAATAATTCCTTAGTCACTTGGCTGTTTTGAACATTTCAGCCAGTGTCCATGTCACCGAAAATCCGGGAATAAAACCTCATAACACCAAAGTAGTGTTAAAAGGCAGGCATTCTTTATTGCAGCACTGGATGCACGGGGGATAATTTCACCGAACATGCATACCTCATACCTTTTCCGTGCAGTTTATATAGATCAAAAATATATGTATTCATTCGGTTACATAACTTACCCCTTTCATATTAAAATCAGTTCCAAGAAGTCATTTCCATATAATCCTCCCAGCTGCGCTTGCGCAGTGCCTCCTAGTGGTGATCGTCGGGGATCCCAAGATGAAGGCTCATCCTCTTCATCACAGTGTTTGTTGATTGACTTTTGTTTCTGTGCAAACTCAGTTCTCTTCTGGCTCCCATCCACACAGCAGGGTCATCTTGACCGATTCTAGGCAACTTCTAGCCCCTATTAAAAACTAACCCCTTTGTATGGAGATGCAAGACTCTCTGCTTCAGTTAATTTACACAATAGATAGGTACCATGATGCTATTTCTTTTAAAAATCCCCCTCCACCACTATTGTTTAACATTAATGGTTACTTAGAGACTAGACCCTCTGTTCCCAGACCTAATGTCCAGGTGGGTAGGGCTGTACCAGGAACATAGCAGCACCGTTCATGTTTATGGTCAACTGATTCTATCACTCTGGTTACATCCAGAGGTAATAGATTGGTGTGAAGATGTACCATCTGTTGCCTCTTAAGCTTCCTTGGAAAATTTCGTAGCTGAGCATCACGCTTTGGTGTATGTAACGTGGGAGTTTGCCTGGTTCTTGTGGTGCTCCCCTCCTCCCCGTGCCCCAAGCACATAGCTCCCCCAGGGTGTGTCTGGGGTAGGGCTGCATGCAAGGAGCTGGGCCAGGCTCCTGCTGCACTGCTGTTTTTGGAGGGTTCTGCCAGGTTGGGAGCAGTAGTAGCATAGTAAGCCAGGGCATAGCTGCTCCTGTACTGACATGCTGGGTGCTCCCAGCCCAACCCTCCCCAGCCCTAGGTGGGCACTGAAGGCCTTGGGTGCTCTATGGAGGGGGGGCAGGCTGAGGCAGGAGTCCCGTTCTTTGCAAAGGCTCGGGTCTGGCTCCCCATCCCATGCAGCTTGTGCCTTGAACTACAGGGAAAGTAGGAGATCCTTAAAGCCAGACACAGAATGCTGTTTGCTGAAACGAAGCTTTGGTTGCTTACACTAAGCCCAAGATCAAAGGTCTCTGATTACCTGCTTTGTGCAGTTAAAGCATGGGAGGGGCGGCTGCTTTGTTTGTTTAACCTGTGAAGATGCGATCCTGCATTCTTGGAGTGCAGAGGAAATCCTGAGAGACAGGAGAGCCAGTAGGTTTAGAGCAGATGTATGTTGGGCCAGGGTATGTGCCCAGCTCAGGAAGATGTCCTCTGCTTTAGGGGAGCTGAGAATTGTTTTTATGGAGTACTCTAACACAACCTGAGGTGCAGCAGTGAGACATTGATGCCAGGCAATACGTGGTATTGGTACACATGGGTACATGAGCCTGGAGGACAGTTTCTGGCTCTGACAATTTTTTTTTTTCCTTTCAGTATAACATGCCATACTGTGTAGACTGATGCTTCCAGGTTTCACAGAAAGGGATGATTTTGCGGGTGATCTAAAGAGAATTAAAGACTGCACAGTGTAGGTTGAAAGGCGTTCCCATTGCCTGTGGTGCAGAGATCTGATCCAGTTCCCGCTGGCAGACTCCTGGCAGGTAAGGGCCCACAGCCAGATCCCCAGCTTGCTGCCTCTGTCACTGGCTAGTTAGATGTTCAAGCAAGTCATTGACTTCTCTGCGCTGAAGTCTTTCCCTCTGTAAATGTTTATCAGCCTAAATTGGGATCAGGAAGCCCTAGTCCGTATGGGAGAGCTGCTGCACTCCGTGTGCATTGTAGGACTCCTGACATCCCTTCCATCTCTGGCACCACATTCACTCTCTCCTGATGATGGCTGGCTGGGCTGACTGTCATCCGGGTGACTTTGTTAAGATTTTATTGTCTTCCCTCCCCTTCCCTGTCGGCTTTCTCTCATCCTGGTCAGTCTCTGCTCCTACTAGTTCTCCTTGACTTTCCTCTTCCAGATTTCATCCTCATGGCACAGGGCATCCACATGCACGCTTCCAGGATCCAGTGGGGCCTGGTGATGTGCTTCCTGTGCTACTTTGGCACCTTTGCAGTGGAGTTCAGGCACTACAGATTTGAGATCGTTTGCTCTGAGTACCAGGAAAACTTTCTGAGCTTTTCTGAAAGCTTATCAGAAGCCTCTGAGTATCAGACCGATCAGGTGTAGCCTGTCCTCTGGCAAAGGGGGATGGGGGAAAGTGCAGTCTCATGGATTAAACATGACCTCATTTATACTTTTTTGATGAGTTTGTTTTCATGTGCAATCATGATCATATTGCCAAAGGGCTCTGAGGGTGGCTGTCTCATTAAGAGTCAAACAGAAATAGCTGTCTGCTGGAAGAGGACTGGATCCTTCTCAGCAGCAGCATTGAGAAAGCACAAGCTGTTTAGTTTGTGCTGCCAGTGACTCTTTCTGAGTGGCTCTGTCACACTCCTCTTGTTCAAAACATTCAACAGCCAGTCCTCGTGATGCCCCTCTGACACAGGCACTCCTCAGCCTGTTCTGCAGAGGAGGAGATGAATGAAACGGACTTCTCCAGGCCACCAAGAGTCTTCAGGAGTCGCATCTTTTGTATTTCTTGCATTGTTTTTTTTTGCTGTCAACTGGTGTAACTTGGTAGGGTGAGAAAGAGCAGCTATTTCTTCTGGACTTGCAGTCATGCAGTGGAAGACTCCAACTGACTGGCTTTTATGGCGAGCAGGCAGGCATTTCCTCTAGCCTGGAAAGCAACTGAGGGAAAAGCCAAAATTGGGAGAAACTGCGCTGTGATCAGGAAGCGAGACTTGGCCGGTGCTGCCTTGTAGCTGGGCAGACCATCCCAGGCCAGAGGAGATAGCAGAGTGAGGTGCTGTGCTCGGCTTCATGTTTCAGACTCAACGATGGGGACTGGTGGTAGCAAGGTGCTGAATTAAGATGGGAATACCTGTGTGCTCTGAAGATGACCCAGAAAAGGCTGCTTTTTGTAAGTGTGTAGTGCTTCCACCACATATCATGTGTAATATTTCAAAAGCTTTTTGTTTCTGTTCACTGAGGGCGAGAACATTGTGTTAGAGATGCTGGGCTCACCTGCAATGAGAACAGAACTGTTGCAGCTGGTTCTGGGCACAGGGTTTGGTTTTGCTCCTTCTGCACTTAGAAGTCAAACTTCAGACACACTGATACTAGGCCTGGGCTCTGGATCCCTCTGTGTGACCACTTGTCCTAAGCGGAGTCTGCCACAGGCTTAAGTGGGCTTCCAAGGTGCAGGGAGGCAATTCTGCCCCAGAGGTTGGGTGATGTGGCCTGAGGGCTAGAGGTACAGGAAGGGAATGGCAAAACCAGCAGAGCTTCTCCCTCCCTGAAGGGAGGTTTTCAAACAGAAGGTCTGTTCTCAAAGAAAAAGCAGGAGCTTCTGTTTGAAAACCTGATTTTGGAAAGGCTGCTGTATTGGCTGGGCAGGGGAGAGATGGGAATTGCTTCTCATGAACATGGCTCCTGTTTTCCTCCATCAGTCAGGCTCATCTTAGGTTTGCATCTTGTCTGAGCTGCAGGAAAATAAGCAGAAATTAAAATGGTGGCAAAAGGCATTGGAAGGGGATCTTGTACCGCACTGTGGCATTTCTGACAGAGAGGGAAAAGGCACGAGGGCACTCAGTCTTCTGCAACAGTCAGAGGTCTCTCCTGAAAGGAGAAACAGTTGAGAAAAACTTTGGTCAAAACTAGTGCAAGTGGAAGGCTTTCAAGCCAGCCCTTTCCTTTATCTTCTGTGGGCCAAAATTTGTTCTCAGGCAGCTGTTATAAATCCAGAGCTTCTCCAGTCAACAGAGGGTTGTCACTGGACTGCTGAAGGCCTCCTCCTTGTAGCTGTGTCACTAGTGGCGGACGTGCTGAGGGCTCCCCAGGGTGGCCCAAGGGCACAGCAGCGTAAGGTGCTGGGCTCCCCAGCAGCCCATCTTGGGAGCTCCTCTTGGGCAAGGGCAGGAGGGAACAGCCTGGAGAAGTTGCAGGTGGGTATCCTCTTGCACAGGCACACACACTCAATGCATATGGAGCAAAAAATAGCAATTTGTTTTAAGGGTGTTTTATTGTAAATAGTCCAATTTTAAAATCAATTAATACTTTCAGTTTATCATTTTATATTTTGTAATTTTATCAAAGGAAAAAAAGATGATGTTTGTGATCCCCCCCCTCCTTTTTTCTATATGCAATCCAAACTGAACTTCAGGTTTTTGTTGGTAACTCTGTACATTTCTTAGAATATTTCTAACAGCGCATTTCAGTACAACTAAATGACAACTGATATACACTGAAACACAAACACTAAATAAAGTGCTTTTATGGAGAAAGTGATTTATATTTTTGTCCCCTACCCCATGCATAGCTTCCTGATGGCAAAAGCAAAACAAAAGGTGAGTATTTACAATGTCATGGTTAAAATTAACACTTAACGAAGACAGGGACTATTGAGCCATGCAGATACACTTATTGTAACAGTGCTAATTAGCAGGCTTTCTAGGAGGAGGATCACACTCATTACACAGCCCAGAAAGGCATCCAGACTAGCTGCCTCACAGCCTTAGCTGCTACCACTGAAGTTGTAGAAGGGCAGTGCTGGCATGATGTGGTTTCCTTCCAAAATGCCTCTCTTGCTTGTTCTCTACACAGCAGCCTCCCTCAACAGCAACAGCTGTAGGTGTAGATTAGAGCTCAGGAAGGCAACGTGCCCATTAGTGTTCTATTTTGGCCATCCATGACAGCAAGCTCAAGCGCAGCTATGCAGAAATGAGCAAGTAGCAAGTGACAACCATGCATGAAGTGTCAGCAGCAGATAACTGGGGTTTCAGAGTGCCTCTGCCTTCACTATTACTAGGTATAATCTAGCTGTGGCTCGCACTCCTGCACCCCGACTGAAATTGCAAGATGGTCGGGGAGGTTGTCTGCCTTAGAAAGGACTGGTGAGGGCTAAGCAGGAAAACAAAGTGTTCACAGATTTAAAAAAAAAGAGATTTGCAGATTTGCCTTTAGGCACTGGTGATAGACAGGAAGGCTAAATACCGGGATGGAGTGAACACAATGAAAGCAACATTGTGTTTTTATTTACTACATTAGGAAAAACTCCATGACTATCTGATATAAATTGGCACAGTTTAGATAGGGTGCATGAAAAGGTCAGGTTTTTAATTCTCATTAAATGCAGCAGGATGTGTCCCTCAGGAGCAGTTGTTTGTCAGGGTTTGCTCACAGCTGACCAGTACTATGAATGCGTGAAAGGGTGATGTTGACTGCTGAGAAGGAGCTCCATGGGTAAGTGCTGAAGGAGATACTTCAGAAACACAGTCAAGCTAACTTTGGTGTTCAGTCACATGGATCCCATAGCCCAGCACCACCATGCAGCAGTGAGGTGGGTCTAGAATTTAATTTTTAAAGCTGTATTTATATATACTCTGCTTCATTCTGGTAGGCTGGCCATGTAGCTCTAAGCAGCTTCCATATGCAGGCTGTACCGTTTTGTACCTAGACCTGCTGTGGATGTAGCCAAGATTTAAGTTGTTCCTGGTCTAAAGAGCTTGCCTGCAGCAAGGGCTGGCGTTTTCTGTGACAGCCCAAACTTAATGTATTACAGCCCACATCTGGCACTTTCCTTTAGGCTTCCTAACCCCCCTAATTTTGAAAGTTTTGACTTAGCCAGCAACACTGTCTGCAGGGAGAAGCTCATATCCCCTTATGGTTCCCGGAGGACCTTCTGGGACAGGAGGACATACACTTTGTTTGTAGTCTCTAAAAATGATGGAGCTTATGGTGGGGCATCTCAGCACCAGATTTCAATGGGTGAGTCTGAATGAAACATCCCCTGAGCTAACTGCTAGCTGGCAAAGGGGAGGAACAGCAGAGCTCATGGGTGCTGCTCCTCTCCCTGTTCCCAGTTCCAGCTGGCTGCTGCAGGCCTCTGTGCTACTGCACAAGGGACCCCACACCATACTCCCCATCCATACCTGCCTGCACTAGTTGCGGTTGCAAGACGTGATGTGGGTTTGGTTTTAAATTCTGATTATGGACAAAATTACCTAACATTACACAAGAACAATTCAGGTGAAGCACAGTCTTTTGTGTGTGCACTGCTATCCCTAAGTGGAGGAAGGCAGGAAAAGTTCAGTGAAAGATGAGATGAGGCTGTAATACGATTTCTCATCGTCCATCAGTCCTGCGTTGCCTGGTCTGATCACCACAGCCACGTGAATATCCGCTTCCTCGGCTGCCTTGGCTTCTGAAACAGAGTTGGGGAGAGTGGAGATGAGATGTGCTTACCAACTTCTCCACATGAGGGTCTTTAAGGCTTGAAGATGCCACAGAACACTGAAGTGCTTTTAAAGGTTGAGACTGGGAGAGCAGCGTTTACATGTGGCGCTGCAGGGTTCTAGAGAAGGATGAGCTCCTGGCAGACCTGCTATGGATGATTGTGGCTGCTGTGTAACACAAGTGGACGGGAGCTGGCTGTCTCCTGCTGGGAGTTACTTCTCACAAGCTTTCTTCACTCCCCGAGCACAGCAAGAGGCCACAGGAAGACAATACAGGGAACAGAAGGTAACTGCACATTTCCACCAACTCTGCTGCCACGGCTGGGGAGGAGGTAAGGGCTAACTGCCCGGGACTGAGCTGGCTTAGACTGAGATCACAATGCAGTGCTGTTTCTGCCATAAAGACGTTTCCAGCAAAGGCAGGAAATTAAATTAGCTTCCTGAGCCTGGCTTTACAGGTGTCAAGTCCTGGCGACCAGGAAGCAATGTTTTCCTGCTCCTGAACACAACAGTAGGTGGCACAAAGAACCAGCCACTGTGCATGCCATGTAGCAGCACAGTAGATATCGTCTGTCCCCCTGAGCATGGGTCACAAAAACCAATGGCCCCGTTTGTAAATGAGGCACGCCAGCTACTTCACTTGCCAAAATGAAGCAGTGCTGCTCACAGATATCTCACTGCTCTATGAGAACTTGGATGTGTAAGGAAGGAGCATAGCAGCAGCTAGGGGGATGCCACCAAAGCAAGGTGGTCTGCAGCATTTCTGGGGTGCTTGTGACAAGTCAGCAGCATGCGTTTAAACAGCACGTGCCTCCCTTGCACAGGCGAGAGCCAGCAGGACTGGCAGGCCACCTACCTCGAGGGACATCTGTCAGGAAGAGGATGTTGTTGGTGGCACACCCAATACTGGCCGCAATCCTTCTGTAGCTCTCACTTTCTACCTTAGGGCCTATTTTGGTATCAAAGTGGCCATCAAAGAGCTGAAAGACAGAGAAAAGCAAAGGCAGTTGTTGAGTGTCACCTGAAGAGCAGGGCTAAACCTCGCTCCTGACCAAGACATCCCCTTTCCTTTCTACCACAGTAATGGGGTAGAATGCAATGCAGCCAAGCTAGCATTCTCAGCTGGCTGAGCCTAACTCCCACAGGTCAAACCCACTGCTCCACCTTCCTGTCCCAGACTCCATTCATGAAATGTTAGGGCAAGGGCAGTTGTGAAGTGCTCTGCAGAGGGAGAAGCTGTAAGGAAGGTGATAAGGTTATCTACCTCTAGGATATCACCTTCTGTAGAGTATCCAAACAGAAGCTTCTGGGCTTCAATGCTGCCTGAGGAGTAGATATAGACCTTCATCCCCGCTTCCCGCCACTTCCGGATGGCTGGAACCACGTCCTCGAAGATTCTGGAGCAAAACAGGGCAGCAAGTAAGGGCAAACCCAGAGGCATCTGGAAGGACACCTTTAGCCAGGCACCGTGACAACTGTCCCATTAGTTTGCAAGAGGACTTCATTCTTGCGCTGTTCAGGGCTTCTGCAGCTGGGGATATTTCAGCAGCAGGTGATACATTCTTAGCTCCAGCCAGCTGAGCACCTCATTGACTGCTATGCAGACAGCAGCTCTGATGAGCTGTTCCATACATTTGGCAGGAGTTTCTCCAGCCCCTTCAATTTGGAGAGGGGAGGAAAGGTTGGGGAAAATGGCATCCCAACACTTTTCTCTTTGGGGGTGGAATAAGGGGGGGGAGGACAGAGAAGACAGGCTCTTGCATCCTGAGTCCCACCTGCCTTGCAAAGCTACAAATGCTTCCCTGTTGGTAAGAGCTATAGCCATAAGCTGCATAAATGTGGGTCAAACCCATCCCACAGGTTCAGGCTATGACCATGAGTAGGGAGGAACTGAGAGGAAGTCACAGCTGCAGGAGCTAAATGAGCACTGTTACAAACTGAAGCCAGATGACAACTCTGGAAAGGAGTGTCCCCTAATGGCCTGAGGTCAGAGCTACTCTATTCAGTGACTTGGTCAAGTTGTACAGTACTGCCCATGGGCCAGATGAGTCCCTGGCTTCCCACCTGCACTACACAGCAATGTGTGGCCACTTGGGCCAGGGCCCAAAGGTACTGCGCAGAAAAAGAGGATATGAGCACCTGATCACCTGAAGAAAACTAACTCCAAATAGATGCAAAAGGAGGTGTTGGACTGAGTTTTGCAGACTTGTAGCAATCAGCTAGCCCTTTCTTCATCTCCAATTTCTTGGCCATCTGCTCAGGGCCTTGATATGTTATGTACATATATAAAAAAAAAGTTATTTTTTTCATAGTTACTAAATGCCTCTGGTGTCAGCTGAAAATATTTTGAGGTTGCATGGCACCTGTAGAAACTCCTAGGCACCCTCATGTTTTCACATGCTGAGTTCAGTGCCTGGATTTCAGACACTGATGTGCCAGATACAGTTGAGTGAGGGGGAGACTTTAGAGATCTCATTCTTTGGATGAGATCCTTGCCAAGCAGCAAGGCTAGCTCCACAGGTTTTGGGCCACTATTAGACAATTAGCCCTGTTTTTAAAAAGAAAAGCAACAAGAAGGCTGTCCCTCTTGACTTGCTTTTTTTGTTTTGTTGCTTTCTCTGGTGGATGTTTACATTTTTCTGTGAGCTCTTTTCCTTCTTCCTTATTCTTCCTTTGGCAAAACACTTTGTGAACTTAAGAGTTTGTTTTACTTCCTTAGGAACTTGAAATGCATAGTTCAACAAAGGATCTCTCAACCTAAATGAGAAGATCAGGCTTAACTCCAGTTGTCTGCACTTACAGACCCTTGTGTCCTGGCTGAAACCTAAAGAGGAGCCTGAAGACAAACAGAAGTGGAAAGGCAGGAAATGCTCAGGTAAGAGACAAAGTAGGAGGAAACAACTGAAAGTACTTGACCTGGCAACCCTGGCTTGCTTAGGCTTGTTCTAAAATGTGAGCAAAATTCAGGGATAAAAAACGCAAGATGGGAACTGTAAGAGGTTTATACTTATGCCTCAGTCTCTTGGTAAAGCAATATTGAGACATTTTCTGAATTTTTAATATAGAAGATAGTCATCCCAGATGAATATTCTGCTGGTCATGGGAGCAGAATTGTTCCATGTCACACCTCCATTACCTTGTTCTGTTTCTCAGATTCTGTCTCCTTTGTGGACCCTGCCCAGGTGACTGGAGAACTGGCTGTTCCCCAGATGTACTTGTCGATTATTCCTTAAGGAGAAACACCCTCACCCACCTGTCATCTTCCCAGTGAGGACTGAGACAACCTGGTCAGTCCTGAGGTTACTGTAAGCTTTTGGTTTCCTAGATCCAAAGATCAAGCTCAATGGAGTTGTGTGTTACTGCATGATCAAGTTTGAAATGAACTGTCTGCAGTTGGTTCCACAACACCAGTGGCCCGGCTTAAGCTACAACTGAATGTAAATGCATAGGCTTCTCCACTGACATTTGCATTTGTATGTGGGGCTGTTTCCAGGAATAGCTTATGCAGCTATTCTGCTAAAAGATGTCTAGGTAAGATGTACCCCATACCTGCCCCAGGGAAAGGGCCACACAATTACTCACTCTCCTTTCACGTGCCCGGTTGCATAGGCTGCCCTCCACATGTGACCCTGCAGCTGCTTCAGTGCTGTGGTCTTCCTGTCCAGAGACATCTGCCAGTGCACGTTGTCTGCAACCGCCTGGATGACCCACTCCAGTTCTTCTACCCCGCTTCCACTCTCCAAAGGTATCGGCACAGCCCCTTCCAAGCTAGAGTCCTCCTGAGCCTGAAGGTGAGGGAAGAGGTGGAGTGGTCTCAACATCTCAGTTTAGGAAAGGGGTCTAACAACTGCATCAGCACACCTCTGTGCAGGACACAGCTTGAACTGCTCTTCATGTGAAGGGTTACAACATTGTCTGAATGCTTTTCTCAATGGGAAATTCAGACTTCAGCAGTGTCTAGAAACACTTGCTTGGATTGTACTTTCTAAACCAAACAATTAGCACTACTGTAGCTGTATTGCAAATACTGTAATGAGAATGATACTTGCTTAAGTATTTAATTAGTGAAATTAAAGCAAAGCAGCAAATGCATCTGTTGGCTTTAGCCAGCCACAGGTCTCAAATTGATGCCGTGTCCCTGTACAGAGGCAGGATATGCTGCCCTGTGTTGGGACAAGTGCTCTGCCATCCCTTCATGCTGCCTCCCAAACAGGCACCTGGAAGCCGCAGGCATCAGATTCAGCAAGAGAAGGGCACAGTGCAGGCACGAAGCTGAAAGGCCATGGTTTGATGACCGCTCAGGGGCCGTGAAGACCGAAGTGAGCTGAGGGAAGCAGCTGAGCTGCTGCCTACCAAGCACCACCCTTCCCCAAGCACAACCCCAGGCTTTGGGGGTTAAGAATCAGCCCATCGAGGCAACCAGTCTTCGTTGGGGGGCAAAGAGAGGTATGGGCTCATGTTGGGTGACTGGGGGAGTTCGAGTGACCTGAAGTCTCAGGCATGCCATGAAAACCTGGAGAGACACAGTGTAGCTCCGTTACTTAACCTGTTTCCTCAGAAGTCTGACGTCCTGCTGGCACTCCTCCTCCCCCCAGTGAGCATGCAGATACTCCTTCACGTTGTCTTTGATGTAGGGGAACAAGGTCTCCTGGCAACACACAAGAAAAACAGGCAGCTCCTTCAACCTGGCAGAGGCAAGGCCGACCTGCTTCTAAAGCAACCATTTGCACGTGCTGGTGTGTACGGTCATTTTTCCTGCTCGAGTTTCCCCTACAGTACTGCAGCTTGTGAAACTGCCTGCCAAGGGTGTCTACCCGGTCGCAGGCTAGAGCCAACCCTGGGCCAAGATAAGTGCAGGAGGATTTTTTGCACAAATGCCTATGTAGCTGCAGCTTTTAAATCCCAGGATGGAAAGGTGGGTGATAACTCTTCCTGGCTTGCCAAAAAATGTCTCAGATGGCAAACATGCCCCCAGGTTCCCATCAGCTGAAGAGTACAAAGCTGACTGTGTATGTACCCTGAACTGACAAGTTATACAACCCTGTTTTTAATGGGGCGCTTGTCCTAATGAAGGTCATTCTGAAAACACATCTCAACTTCTCATCAGAGCTAGAGGACCTTTTTGAAAAGAAAAGTCTAGTCCAGTGACACTGAGCTCCATAGGACAGTCTTGCAAATGAAATGAAATGGGGTTAGGGAAAAGTGCTACAGGAGAATTACAAGCTTACCCAGAGATCCCAAGGGCAACCAGAAATAATTACAAATTGCTCTCATTAGTGATGTTTCACAGCTGAGAAGCCACAAGCAGCTGCTATGGCATCTCTGGGTGCAGGAAGAGCCTCAGGACAAGGGGAAGGGCAGGGAGCTCCTTCCTTCGGGTACAGAACTGAGCTTTTCCTAACTGGGAAAAATTTGGAATGGGGAAAGAGAGAGAATGAAGAAACTAACCTGAGCTCAACTCTCCTCAAAAAATGGCCAGTGATATTTTTCTCCTCATGGTACATCACCTTTGACTTGTTACTGAATTAAGAAAATGGCAGCCCTGAGAGCATGATGTGGTGGCAGAACTGCAGGATTTTCTATTACTCTGATATTGCATTTTCCATGTTGTATATTTTAAAAACAATGTAAATTTAGGGGAAAGGAAAATCTCTTAAATGCCTAGAAAATTACCACGAACTTGTCTAGGGAAATCAACAGCCTTGTAATACCCCCAGTTACTCTCTCATTTCCTTTACTTGAGCTTAGTTGCTTTCAAACTATCTTTTACATCATGGAGGAAATTAAAGAGTGTCCACTGGGAAATGCAACTGACCTGCTGACTTGGTTTAACTTCCCTTACAACTTGGATGTCAAAAGTTTTTGCTTTCCAAAAGCAGTGTTTCATGCTCTTGTGCTGGCAAAGAAAAACTTCCAACCAGGCTCCAAAAGCTCAGTGTATTCCGTGACTCACTGGATTTTTAAAGGGCAAAAGCCTTGGCTCATTGGCAAATGCATTGGTCTGTGGTGCAAGAGAGGACACCAACGTGACAGCTGGAGTCGTGGACAGCCAGTGGGACAGACGATTTATGGATGTCAGGAGTGCTCCCAGGCAATAATGTACTAAGTTTAAAAGGCCATGAGTTTGTGTGGAAGAAAGACTCCTTGCATCCTGCAAGGAAATACCTTCATTGCTAAGGCTTCAGCTTTCAACAGAAGTTGGCGGCTGCAAACTCTTGAATAGGTTTAACTGGGGCTGTTACTGACCTTCGTAAGTTCACCCACTTCTCTTATCTTGGCTAGCAGGAGACCTGAGCCTGTCTGTGCACAGCTCCCATCGCTCTGTCCATCTCCCATGGGTGTTGGGGAGATGGGCGCTATCACCCCACCGCACTGCTGGACGGCCAGGCTCCTCAGCGACGTCCAGCCCCAGATGTGGTTGCCGCAATGCAGCTTGGCAGGATGGAGAAACAGCCATCAGCAAACACGGCTTGACAGCCCTCCTAAGCCTTCGCAATGGCTCACAGCAAGTTTAAACCCGTGAAAAAGGGTTTACCACCTAGAAAGGGTGGTATTTTTACCATCAGTAGACACCCAAGTAGCATGCTGTAATTAGCGGTTGTAGGATTTCAAGCGACCAGGGTCAATTTTCCTCTCAATGTCTATGGAAACTGTCACAAAGTTCAGTGACAATCTGCTGTTTCACAGGAGATTTGGCAAATCTAGCCTATTTACAGGGTTTGTCCCGATGCCTCCTGCCGGCCTCGCAGACTTCCCAGTCCCCCGACTTCTGCACCTAAACCAATATTTTCAATAATCTTAAGCCTTCCTCTAGGCAATGGACGCCACTTGTACACATCCGCTGTTAGCACAGTCCTCCTCGTGTACACTTGATATGCACTCTGTGCTACCCTCGCCCTGCACTGGGCCTGTGCACGCTGGAGGAAGGGCATATGTCTCTGGTGACACTGGAGGCACCTGACCGTACCACCCTGCTGAAGCGAAAAGGCAGCGGATAACCCTGAGACAGCAGGCCATGCTCTCCGCAGACTTGGGTGAGATGCTGCTGCTCCCAGCCATCTCCACAACGGTGATGCTTGAGGGCTTTTCCTGAATGAGGCTGAGAGCACCCCAACTGCCCTACATCCGTGGAAAAAAATCATTTACTGAACCGCCCTGGATCTGAACAGTTCCCTGTTCCCCTGCCCCCCAAAGAGGCAGGCGACATGAGATGTATTTCTTGTGAGCATTATTCAGAAAAACACAGAAACCGTGTCACGGCTTTACACTTCTGATGGGACTCAGGCCTGCCCTCCGCCAGGCTGCAGCCCCGGGAGACGCGCTGCCCCCCCGCAGCGGGG